TCCAGATGCACACAAGTTGCTCAGCCGCTGTCATTAAAAATAAGTTGTCACTAGATGCCTCTTTAGTTTCTTTATAAAATTCATCATTTGATAATTATTTTTCCTTCACTTAATTTATTTTCAAATGCAGAATTGGTAGTATGGTCTGATTAACCCCATAAGTTATATCCTATAGATTGTGCCTCTCCATTTTTTTCCTTGTTGGGTCACCGAAATTTCGTGAAGTGTACACTTACTCCACTATGTTTAATTGCATATAAAGTTGGAGTTGATGTGTTCTATTGCTGAGAGCAGAAAAGGGAATTGATGTAGGACTTTATTGGATGCATTTGGTAGGTGGACTGTGACGTGTCCTTATAAATGTACTGTACTTTTGCGATTAATATAGAGATTCTATTGATTAATTCAACTTGGTAACTCTTTGTCGTTTGGCTTGCATAATTTAGCACTGGTATTGCTGTGTGTAGATTTTTAACTCCTAGTTAATGCATAAGTTCTACGACATGCTTCTTATATTTAGTGCATAAATCCTCTATGCCGATGCATTTCTTGATGGTAAATATATGTCTCCCCAGTTAGAGTTAATTTGAGATGTCTAAGAAGTTTATGGATCATATGAATGTTATGGCGTTTCAGCCTTAGAACTCTTTGAAGGTATCAAGGCCCTTTTACAGAGATTGAGGTCATAGTGGTTTAAGAACTTCTTAACAGAGGATGGCTATGATGCCAGTTTCCAAATATTTGGCTGTTACCCTTCATCTATTTATGTGAAATAAATGCGGGGAGGCGGTAGGTGAAGGAAAATTTGAGAAGAGAAAATGGATTATGAGAGAGTGACTTTAGCTACTGATTGGCCCCTATAGATCTAAACCTGTTACTTAGGAATTCACAAATGTATATTGTTCCAATCTCTGAGCGAGCCCTATGATCAGATCCTTATCATGTATCAAAGAACAATCCTTTTATCACGTACCTCGATTTATGCAACTCAGATGTTCTGGATCAGATTTGATATGAACTGCAGTTCATGCAAGAAAATAGAATGGGAAATCTAGTGGTGTCTTTTTGTTTGGTTGCATAATGGGATTTGGAGGAAGACATGGAGAATCTGACCATGCTTAGATTACTTAGCTGAACTTGTAGAATGAAAATTTTAGGGAACTAGCTCCTTTTAAGCGCATAAGATCACGTGCTTTCCATCAAATAAGGTTTTAAAGAAGTAAATAAGAAGGATAAAAAAAAATCCGAATAGTCTTACTTCAGGAACTCCAATGTGCATGCTTAACAATATACATACATCAATATATCAGGGAGTATTCTCATGCTTGTACAATTATTTACGTTGTCTTGTTTCCCTTTTTATCTAACCATCAGCAGGAGAAGGGTCAACCATTGCCTAAGTTTGGTGAGTGGGATGTCAATGACCCAGCTTCAGCAGAGGGATTCACGGTGATCTTCAACAAGGCCCGAAATGAGAAAAAAACAGGTGGCAATCCAGAATCACCTTCAAAGGCTGATTCCAATACAAAGCAAGCAGCAGACCCGTTCAAACCTCAAGCTGTAAGTTGATCTTATAGCTCAATGGGAACTTTTTTACCACTATGATCTTCTTTTTCCTCCTCTCTCTCTCTCTTATTTTATTTTATGTATTCCTAACCAAATATCTTCACACAATTAAAACTGAGATAATTTGGCTGTTATAGCATACATCTTCATATAAAGAGTTTTTACGTATAAAACATAAGATTTTTATTATCAAAGAGGTGAAATACCATAGCCGCTCCATCATCCCTCACCCCTCCCCACCCCAACCGAAGAAAAAATAAAGAATAAAGGAGAAGAAAGAATGGCCGGAGTGTTATCCAATGTCCAAGCTTAAGCCGCTTTTAGGCTATCTTTAGTAGCCTCTGGCTATGATACTATGGTCCTGATTTGGAGTGTTCTTCATGAAACATTTTTCAAAATAAATTGTCAATTACATTGTAATCAAGTAGTCAATATTACTTGAAAGATCAACGAAAGAGTTTGATTGCGAATGAGCTGAAATTAGGAGAAAATTGAGAGATTAAACATAATATAAATGATCCAAAATATTTTGAGTGTATATATAGGATCAATAGGATAGTCATATACTTCATATATGGTGGAGGAACCTTCATTGTTGCCCAAGCATAATCCATCGAAGCTGGCTAACCTTCATACAAAGCGCCTAGTCAAATTTATAAAAACCTCAATGGAGTTGAGGGTCTAAACTGGGATGATCAACGATAAAATAAGCTTGAGCCAAGGTAGGGACTCGACTCGGAAATCGTTCTAGGTCTAGGTAGTGAACTTCTCCAGCGAGAAATTCACTAGTTTGCATGAACGCCCCATGGCATGTTATTCTGTGAACTGAGAAATCGTTGTTTTCTAGCTTCAAAACTCGGATAATGGGCCACAGAACATTTTCTCTTATGTGTTTAACTATAGTTTATGTAGAATGTTCTACAAATAATAATTGGTGATATAAAACATTCCAAAATAGATTAATCCATTTTTGTAAATATTTCTCATGATTTCTTATACAATATTTCATATTTTAATATATTTGAAAACTTTATTTATGATATTTAAAGCTAAATACAATTTAGTGGTGCCTGTGTCCTTTTCTGGTTAACACTCCGCTTATAGGTAAAACTCTTGCTCCTAATAAAATAGTCTTCATAACCACCACACTGTGTTGGCTTCTTAAATTTTTATAAATGGAGAAAGAATAAGGATTTCTGTTCTGTTAGCCGAAGCTTAAAATTCGTAATTTAGTTATTGCATACTTTCGTCTAACTAAGTTGAATAGAAAATTAATTAGAAAAACTTTGTTTCTAAGTTGGCCATGGGTTCTTCTGGATGTGAGCATCTATAACAAGTGGAGGACTGTTCATGGGATCTTATACCCTGGTGCTGAAAATGGGTCTTTTACTCCTTTTGTTGTGACTTCTCTCGAATGGAACTTTCTAGTGTAAGTTTGGAGTTAATTGTCGGGTAAGTTTGGTGTTTTAGCTTGTACTTGGGACAAATAACTAGGGAACTCGAAGAATTCCACCCCATAGTAACTTCCTTTTTTTTTTTTTTGGGGGGGGGGGTGGTGAAGCAAATGATATTACCCTTTTACTCCCAACATGTTCTCTTCATTCGACTTTGATAATTTCTTTTTTGATAAGTAATCAAAGATTTTCCTTTCTACCTGCACCAAGGTAGGGGTAAGATCTGCTTACACACTACTCTCCCAGACTCCACTTATGGCGTGTGGGGTTCCACTGGGTTTTTTGTTGTTGTTATTGTACGTAATCAAAGATTTCATAAATGCTTGAGCCAGTGCGACAAAAACATGACTACGAATTGTGCAAATCCCCTATTCTGTTGAAGGTATAGAAAAAAGGAGAAAGGTAGACACACAATTTTATTTTAGAATATACTATCTTTTTATTTTTCGCAGGGACTTTTCTCCTGACATGTTGCATGGTGGCGAAAGTTGGGAAGACTTGGTCGCCTGTTCTCAAACTTAGTCTTGGAATATCAGGGCCAGTTTATTGTTGATGTTGTTGCTGTTGTTATTTTTGTTTGTTCCCTCTTTGAAATTTATCTTAGTGGCTAGTTATGACTGTGGTTCTTAATGTTAGATTAACTTACCCAACAACTGGGCTGTGATGTTGTTTGAACGGACACTAACATTTCTCTGGTGAACCTCTGAAACATTCCTGTTATCTTTTAGGATCTCACCTTAAGTTTTATTTTGCAGAAAAAATGGTTTTGCTGCATGCAAAGCCCCCATGCAGAATCCTGACAAGGTTATCTATCTGCCCATGTCGAATATTGGATTCATATTCACAACAAACTCCAGAACTCCCTTTGTGTTGGCGCTGGAGACAGAGGAACTGCTGAAGTCGTTTTTGTCTTGTAAACTTGTGATAGTGGGGAGAAACGACATGTTTGATGTACCTATGTGATGTATTTTGTATTTTACATTTAGCAGACAAGTTTTCGATTGCTTTCATATACGTGTGGTTAGTAGAACACATCTCAACTATTATTATTCTGATAATTTCATCACAATCATATCTTGTTTGCATAGATTTTTCTGGTCCCAACTCCCAAGCTTACCAACTTATTGCGTATTCACGACTAACTTGCATTATGCAGCCATGTGGAGTTGTATGTGTAAAATTGGTGTATCTGGCAGCTATATAATTCTTGACACCTGTTAAACTACCAAATAACAGGATTTTAGAAAACTTTTACTCCCTCCGGTCCACAATAAGTGATCAATTTGCTTTGGTCACGCCAATTAAGGTAATACTAAATTCTAGACAAGAATAGTTAGTGTGACTAAATTATCCTTAATTAAATGTTGCAGCATAATTTAATATGAGGAGTAAAAGACTTTTTAGAGATACGTACATAAGGGTAATTTTGAAAAAATAAATTGAAAATTTTTTTGATTATATAAAGGGACATTTATTTTTGGACCAAAATAAAAAAGTAAATTGGTCACAAATTGTGGACGGAGGAAGTAACAAACTAAGCATCTGTAGGTTTGGAATAAGATTAGAAACCGCATGCATGTTGTTACGGCACTACTCCAGGACTTCAGGCAAGATAACTTCTCCAGTCACTGATTTCCTCGTATAGTCAGATGCAGCCTACGCATGCTAAAAGCCTAGTATTTAAGTGGAAGGATCTAAGGGTCGAGTATGTTATCTATCGAATTTTGAACCATGCGCCAGCTAGGGAATTTCTCGATTATCAACAAAAAATTTAAGAAAGAAGATAAATAATCAAGTGCTTGTCAATAAGGAAAATAAAATGCAGGTATATGCACAACTACTGCCAATTAGTTCCCGAAGAGAGTTTGAAACAAAATTCTATTTACTTATGGGAAATTGCCACTGCAAATATATGATTGCTGATTACAAATTTTGATTTATCAAATTCAACAATCGACCATGTCATGGACTTTAAAGGAATTGCAAGCAAACAGATTAGAAAAATCTCACTAAATCCTGAAAGAATGTATTGAAATAACATAATTTATGAATAAAACATCTGTGATTCTAGTTTCTGTGGGATCTGCCTTCAGAAAAAGGCACAAAAAGTTAATACATCTAAAGTTTACAGGGTTTGGCAGAAGAATATTATCATCCCTGTGCCAAAAGCTAAACTCTGGACTGCCCCAGCTTTCTTTCAAACAAATTCTTGAGGAGGAATACTTGCAGAAAACTAACACAAATAAGAGCTGAAGACTCGAACAGAGCTTTGTAGACGGCTCTTTTGCTCATTCCTTCATTCACTGCATTAGTAGGAATTAAATCTGTGAGACCATGTCATAGACTATGCACACTTTCATGACTGCAGCTAATATGGGGAGACAACTTCATATGATGAAGTTTAAGTTTGAGATGCAAAAAGTAAAAACATATATAGTATAAGGTGAAGCACTTAAACCACTAAATTCCAGATATATAATGTAAATCCCAAGAGAACGACTTCAAAAGTGAATTGGGTTAATAGGCCTTAACTTTTACATCAACTTGATATTCATACTATTGGTGGGTGCCCACGATGATGAGCAGAAGTGAACAACTCTATGTAGCTCAGCTGATTAACATTTACTGCAAATTAATTTTAGGAGGGTGACAGGCATGAATCATGGATTTCCAAGACAAGCGTTCAATTTTGATATACTAAACTCTCAAAACAAGATAGACATCCCAAAGGAGGAATATTGAAGGGGGAAAATTACCCCATTCTAAAGGCATGCTAAAGGGAAAAGGTAACCGATTTCTATCACAAATTGGTACTGATGCAGTTGAAGCTGCTACATGTAATAAACCACAAGAAAAAAGAGTAAACATTACCTATTGCCTGACGGTCTGTCTGGGCCTCTAGCCAGTGCTGCTCAAACTGAATGTTGTACAAAGCTTCTTCTAGCTTTCCGATATGCTCAAACAAAGGCTTGAAATGCTCTGCAAGTCTCAAACAAATCAAGTAAAATATCGAATATACATATTAGAAGTCGACACCAAGATAAAGCAAAGTAGCACTCGCACCATCTTTTGCATGCTCATCATGGTATACAAAGTGAGCAGCATGTAGATCAAAGTCAACGGTTTCATGATAGGGTGACTTGTTAGTGAAACAGAAACGGTAAATTCCTTCATGATGAGCTACAAACTCGGACTTCTCGCTTATTTTGTCACGAAGATCATGAATCTGTTCTCCTGAAGGCCCCTTCACCTAAAATATCACCATCTTAGCAACATCAATACAATAATGCAGTATAAATAACTGACTATATAATGGATAAAAGCAGAAAATGTACGACTTGACTATTTAAGATATCATCATCATGAAAGCATGAAGAAACGATCGCAGAACAAGCTACACCAAATATTAAGAAAAACCTGAGTGAGTATTCTCTGTGTCAATAAGAATCCATCTCTTTAATTTACAGCTCTGCAACTCAAAACTTCTTTGAATATGCACCGTCATAGACTCTCATTCCCATGGATGAGAATTCAAGCACACCCCCCTCCCCCCCTCCCAAGTCCCCCGGGTTTTTGCGATTCCTCCTCGGGGCTATCTTTGTACTTGAGGGGGATGTATCCCACATTATACAAAAACAGTTTTTCGATGGACTGTTTTCTACTTGAGGCACATTTTTTATTTTATTTATGTCGATGCCAGCTAGCTTTCTAGAAAAGAAATAAAAAAGACACCTTTGCTAGATTCTGTACATTCTCTTCATGAAAACAAAATCAACAAAATATTCAAATAACATCACAGTGACCATTGTAAGATGCATTTTTTACCAGGTTTAATCTTAACAAAAATACGAGGCATAATAAACTATTACTAAAAATGTACATATTTTTAAAAATCCATTAATTTATGGGGAAAAAAGAGCTCTGTTAAGTAAATCATACCACAAGATCAACACCCTCTTCTTCACTGTAATGCCAAGAGCCATCGGACTTAATGACAACAAAGGAATAATGAACTGTCTCCCCCATTTCAACCTTATGTGAAAAGCATTCTTCTTTCTCAATTACGAATCTAATCCCAAATGCCCCATTGAAGCTCCATGCCACTACCAATATTGTCACCGCCATCCAAACTTCAGATCTCATCTGCGATAAATAAATTCTGAGTTCGATTTTCCAAATCTAACAAAGATTAACAGAAATAATGAATATTAGGCTTACCATTTTAGGGAAAGAAGTGAAACTTTGGAGCGCGAATAGCAAGAGTTGGAACTTAAAGTGTTTGACCAAGTTAAGTTACAGCACATCCAGAAAAAGGGACGTGCGGCAGTACTAATACCCAAAACTACTTTTCCCAAGGGTCGTTTGGCAGGAGGTATTAGAAAAAATAATGCAAGCATTAGTTCTATGCATTGTTAATATCTTGTTTGGTATATTTTTTCAACTTGTGTATAACTAATATACATCATACATGGCATTATCCTGTGCATCAGTAATACATAGAAAACCATGGCATTAGTAATACCAAGGCTTTAATGCATGCATTAGCATGGTTTTGACAAAATTGTCCTTAAAGTCCCTTAAGCTAGAAAATATGGAAGACATTTTTGTAACCAACTATTTTTCTTAAAAATTATGCAATGCATTATAATTTTAATATACCACACCAAACAATAGATAAAAAATAATATTTGCATAATTAATGACACATGCATTACTAATCCATGGATTACTAATACACCTTATTCCACACTGTTCTTATACACCCTACCAAACGACCCCTAAGAGACCGGTTTATATTGCTTGACACAACCCGTTATGGAGTAGGAAGTTGGGAACTTTGTATTAACCAAACCTTAACTTCAAGTAATCTTTAGATAGTTAAGTGGATAAATTCTATTTTACTTTTTTATATCGAGCTAAGTTGGCGTTCCCCACGAATTTGGCACTCCTTAGTCTTTAATACCATTAATTTTTTAGACTTTTTCCTTCCTATATTATATATGAAACCTTATTATCAAAAATGTGCATAGTTTCATATTTACCCGCCATGTTCACAGTTATTCTACAAAATATATATCATTCATTAAATACCAATTATTAGGAGCTGATTCCTTCCTAATTAGGCGCGCTACAAATCTGAAACTAAATATTCTTCCAGATATTCCTATTTAGGCGCGCTACAATTATGGAAGTAAATATTCTTCCAGATATTTTCCACCATTGACAACCATTAAAAAGCTTGAAAGCTTTGAATTCAAATTTGGTTTTTCAAAAATCATTATTTGTTTGGATTGGGTGTTGTTGAAAATAATCGGGAATATGGTTTGGAGTTTGTATCTCAATTTTGAGGGGTTTTGGTGAAGATTAGACTTGGTTTTGAATGAATTTCAGATTGAAACTCGAAGAAGAAGAAGACATATTGCAGAAATTGTAGATATATTGTAGATTATTTGTATTCTGATTGTAGATGCTTTATTTTCTGTTTTCACAAATAAAAAAACGGCTAAAACTTCTACAAATCTTCTGAAAAAACGCAATTATGTCAAAAATCACAATTATGCTACAATTGAATGAGAATTGAGATATAAAAATTCAATGTACCCAGTTTGTAGATATTATGTAGATAAATTATAGATTATTTGTATTCTAATTGTAGATGCTTTGTTTTCTGTTTTCACAAATCAAAAACGACTAAAACTTCTACAAATCTTCTGCAAAAAATGTAATTATGTCGAAAATCTCAATTAAACTACAATCGAATGGGAATTGGGATATTAAAATTCAATATACCCAGTTTGTAGATATTTTGTAGATGAATTGTAGATTATTTGTATTCTGATTGTAGATGCATTGTTTTCTGTTTTCACAAATCCAAAACGACTAAAACTTCTACAAATCTTCTGCAAAAACACAATTATGTCGAAAATACCAATTAAGCTACAATTAAATGAGAAATTGTACCAATGCCGAAAATACCAATTAAGCTACAAGCTACGATCGAACCTCAATTCCATTATCATCTATTAGTGACGTAACTTGGGCAACGTTTGGAGTCTGGTTTATTGGACATGTGATGTTAGTCGATCCATTTATCCTAGTTTGAAGAAAAGTAGAATTCTCCAATATTACTTCAGTGTTACTGTGATAGACAGAAGAAGAGGACATAAGATGTTCCATAGATGATGACGTTTCACGTATTTGTTGAGCTAAAGAGGGAAGCCATTGATAGCGAAAGAAATCTCGAAATCGTATGCTATTGACGTCGCAGTGCAGCTGTTTTGCATGTTTTTGAACTTTTGTTCTCCAGTAATTCTTAACCTCGAAACTTAAAATGTGGGAGGGGTGGGATATACGGTACCTTGAATTAAGGAGGGATATACGCTGCATTAATTGTACCCTTAAAATATACTATGTTATAGAATTGGTAATTTGGTATACTAAATGTAATTATATCAAACCTTAAACATTGAGGGTAATAAGGTTTCCTATATGGTATAGGAATGTAAAAATTCCTTAATTTTATTGGGGAGTTTTATGACTTTACCCACAAAAACTAAACTAATTACCCTTGCCTACCAATTAATTTTTCTATTCACCAAACTAATTACCCTTCCTACCCATTATAACTTTTGTGGATAATTGTTTTTTTTCTTCTCATTTTCTTTTTCATTTCTCTACTTTCTTTTTCTTTTTTTTTTCTGTTCATAATTTTTTTTCCAGAATCATATTATTTTTATTTACTTTATTTACCATAATCTGATTTTATAATCAATTTGGCTCGTTTCTTTTCATTCTTTTATTTTTATTTTTCTGTCCTTTTGTTGATTTTTTTTAATTTCGTGGTTTTCCTTTTCTAATTTCATTGAACCTTTTTTTTTATAATATTTTTCCCATATTACTATTTTATGTCTTTCGGCGACTAATTCTTATACAATGAATAATATTTTCACGAAACAAGAGTGGGTTGCTTAAGTGTTGAGCACCCTTCACTTCCAACCAATAGGTTGTGAATTCGAGTCACCCCAAGAGCAAGGTGGGGAGCTCTTGGAGGGAGAGAATAAAAAAGAAAAGAATATTATTTTCATGGAACTCCATCAAAAATTTATTTTTTTGCAAGGACCTAGTTGGAAAAATTAAAAAATGACTTATTTATCACGTTATATTGTTATATTATATTGTATACTATAACAGTATAATGTTATTATAGCCATGATTGTAGTTTTGCACAATAACACCTAGATGATTCAACAAATCGCAGTCGAAGTATACTATTATGGTATATTATATCCTATTACAGCATACTGTTACAGTATATTGCATATTATTATGGTATACCGTAATAGTATATTATATACAATAATAGTATACTGTTGCAGTATAACTATATACTCCTATAATATATTGTATACTGTAGCGGTATACTGTTAGGTAACTGTGTTCTTCTTCGATTGTTACAATATACCGTTGCAGTATATTGTAAACTATAATGGTATACTATTGCAGTATAGCTATATACTCCTATAACATATTGTATATCGTAGTGGTATATTGTTGGGTAGCTATATTCTTCTTCGATTTTCTTTGAAAATTTCGATCTGAATCACCTTAAATCAGCTCCAAATACTATCAAATTTCAGTATGAACTTGCAGAAGTACTATAAGTAATATTTAACAGCACCCACTTTGAATCAAATAAAAGAACTTCAAAATAAAAAATTTAAATTCAAGAGCTTCAAGCCAAACAATGGTGAATACTCAAATATACATAAAAATTCAAATTCGGGAAGCTTACTTGAAGGTACTATAATCAATATTTTATAGCACCCACATTGAATTAAATAATAAATTTTCAAAAAAAAATCAGGAGCTTCAAGCTCATCAATGGTGGATCTTATACACATACAAAAATCAGAGCTGAGAAACTTAATATATAAACACAACAACAAATGGGTTCAGAAATACAAAAAATAAAAAAAAATACTAATATAGAAAGAGAATTTTGGAGTGAAACTCATGTACAATAATATAAAAAATTTGTCTTTTAAAAATTATATAGAAATTTCAACAACAAAAAAAGGGTAAATGCATGGATTTGTTTTGGATTTTCGCCATACACTAAAAAGACTAAGTAGGGGTGGGCATACTTTGGACTAATCCGAAATCCAAACCGAAATCCGAATTTCTTGAATTTTTGGTTTGAATTTTCGAATTACGAATTGGATTTGGATTTAATTTTTAAAATTTTTGGATTTCGGATTGGATATTGGATTTGGTACTTCAAATTTTTGGATATCCCAAAATTCTTATATTTTATATTTAGTCCATTATCCATATGTCAATAGTAATAAGTTCAATACCTTACCCATTAGATATTATCATATAGATTCAATATTAATTACTAAGTTATTATGAGAATACTTTCTATTTGGACATGGTTTTACTATTTCTACTTCTTATCTGTCGTATTAACGTCTCTATTTTATTTTTTATTTTTTAATATAATAATTTCATTACTTTAATAGTTCATTTGGATGATTGCGGTGAGAATGAAGAACTTTTCAGGCAATGTAACATGAGTACTTCATTTGGATATTTATTTTTGTAAAAAGAAGAGACATCTCAACTTATAAGCTCAAAACCGAAAATCCAAAATATCCAAACCGATTAATCCGAAACCGAACTTAAAAAATCCGATCCAATCCGAACTTATCTGGATTGGATTTGGATTGTCATTTCGTCAATCCGAAAACTAAAAATCCAAACCGAAATTTTATATGCAATCCGAACTGCCCGAACGCCCACCCCTAAGACTAAGCAGTGGGTATTTTTGAAGGAGGAAAGGAACATTTGGGGCGTGAGACTCTGCTTGTTTAGAGAAATTGAAAAGGGAAAGGGAATTGGGTAGGCGGGTAAATAATTTAGACTGTATAGGTAGAAAAAGTAAATCCTTTGGGCTTACGTATTAAAGGATAAATAGTTTTGACTTAATGGGTATAAAGTAAAATTTCCCCATTTTATTTTACATATTTATATCCAAAGCGGGCTAGCCCAACCCAACCCAATCTTAGCGGCATAAAATTCAGTAGAAATGGCATGGGGTAGCCACTATTTAAGGTGGTATTTAGTTTTTATCCAGCAATTCTAATGTTGAGCAAAAATAGCCACTGCCCTGTTAAAATTAATGTGAAAAAGACATTTTTATCCTTTCTTCCCTTGCTTTTCTTCCCAAACCCTCGCTTCTCTCTCTGCGTGCCTTCTCCGTAATCCAAAATGAATGTTTACGTTCTTATTTCACTTTCGTCGTAGCCACATAAGAAAGGAGACCACAAAAAGTCTTTTCTTCATCGTTGTACTACTATTTCTGCAGTGTGTCTGCAATTATTATTACTATTAGAATTATTAGTGTGAACAACAAATATTTCCAAGACTTGCGTGAGAATAATATCAAAACTCTATGACTTAGATCCATTATCTTTCCCATTTCACTTCTTGGGAATTGTTCTTATTATAGTACCAAGCCAACATAAACCTCAAAAAACAGTTTGCCAAAAAAAAAAAAATCACCTGCTTTTATTTCTGCTATTTTTGAGGTACTTCTCAATTCTTTGTTCTTTGCTTGTTCGTATTCATTTTCTATTTTTTCTAACTTACATAGGTCCTTAACTTTGAGTTTTAAGTTCAAAAGTTAAGGACAGACAGTCCTTAACTTACAGTTACACGTTCAAAAATTAAGGACAATAGGTCCTTAACTTACAGTTACAAGTTCAAAAGTTAAGGACAATAAGTCCTTAACTTTGATTTCCAAGTTCAAAAGTTAAAGACAAACAGTCCTTAACTTACAGTTACACATTCAAAAGTTAAGGACAAGCAGTCCTTAACTTACAGTTACAAGTTCAAAAGTTAAGGACAATAAGTCCTTAACTTTGACTTACAAATTCAAAAGTTAAGGACAGACAGTCCTTAGGACAGACAGTCCTTAACTTACAGTTACACGTTCAAAAGTTAAGGACAAGCAAGTTCAAAAGTTAAGGACAATAGGTCCTTAACTTTGACTTACAAGTTCAAAAGTTAAGGATGCTTGGTCTTGAAATTTGAGTTCCAAGTTCAAAAGTTAAGGACATGTAACCTTGAAGTCCTGAACTTAGAGTTCCAAGTTCAAAAGTTAAGGACTTGTAGTCCTGAAGTCCTGAACTTAGAGTTACAGGTTAAAAAGTTAAGGACATGTAGTCTTGAAGTCCTGAACTTAGAGTTTCAAGTTCAAAAGTTAAGGACATGTAGTCCTGAAGTTAAGGACATGAGCAAAAGGGTATTTTCGTCCGGGCAGTTAAAGTTTATTAAACTAGTGGCTAAAGGCTAAAAACATTTAAAACACTGGCTTTAAAATAAAGACATGAGCTGTTAGTGGCTATTTGTGTACATCGCCCTAAAATTCATAAATAGTCACTTCTTAGCCCCAATAAATTTAAAATAGTCAAGGAATTTCAAATTCCACGGTCAAGCTCCAAATTTTGTCATGGAATTTCACCCAATTTGTAAGTTCATAAAAGTGGCTATTTTTTAATTACAGGACTAAAAAGTGGCTGACCCACACTATTACTGCACTGTACACCCTAGCGGGTTGGAGATTTTAATGGAATTTTTACCTCCTATAGTAAAGGTTAACACCTTATTTATTTTAAGTAAATACCATTTAAAAAAATTATATTCTATAGATACCTTTTAAGGTTTATAGCAAAATATTTAATTTTGGTTACCTCCTAGCCCTAAGCAACTAAATACGCTAATCAGTTACACTTTTTTCTTTCTCTCTACTTTGATACATCCCATTCTCTTCCCTCATCCCATTAAAATTTCCGATCTCCTCCTCCTCCTCCTTCCACCGGATTTGTGCAAAGCCCACTTCAGAGCAGGTCCACTTTCTCCATCTCCATTGATCCAATTAGGGTTCCTTATGCGGATTGATCTTACTAGTTGACGGAGTAATGGCTTTGAGTTGATCTACTGGGAGAACCACCTACAATAGAAAAAACTCTCGCTTAATTATCAAGAAGTTAACCAAATAGCAGGAGTCTGTACAATCAACAACGCGAGCAAACAAAAAGTAAAGAAAAGAGAATCGGCATTGTGCAGCAACAAAGAAAACTATGAAGATTTTTTGCATTTAGATATGCATATATCAAAAGCAACATCGGAAAATTCAGCCCAAATAGGCAGATAACAAAAGATCCTACTGATATCTTGAACAAAGACGATGGAGTTTGGGGTTGAGCAACTTGATTTTCTGTTAATTTATTTCAATGTATTTTCATGTATTTCACTGTCTTTTTTTTTTTCATTGTAATTCAATGTATCTCGTTGTATTCCATGTATTTCATTGTATTCACTGTCTTTTTTCTCATTGTATTTGAATGTATCCCGCTGTATTCTATGTATTTCATTGTATTCACTGTCTCGCTATATGCCATGAATGTATTCATAAGTTTTTTTAAATTAATATAATTTATATATTCAGATGTATTATATAATTTCTCTGAAGATTGCTATATTTTTGGGATATTTTTCGGTTGAGAATCTTTTTTATAACTGAAAATACAAAATTTGTGTGTTATAATTGATTTTGTTGATTATATTAGGAGTCTATTATGTTAATTACTTCACTTTCCATTTTAAAAACACTGTAATCCCCTATTTCACGCCGTGAATACAGTCGAATACAATAATCTGTCCAGTTATAATCCCATATTTCACTCCATGAATACAATCGAATACGCTCGAATACAACAACTGATTAGCTGAACTTCCCTGATTCACGCAATTTGCTACTGTATTCATGAATACAATAGCTTAAATACATCAAATACATCTTATAACCACATAAAAGGTATCTATAATCCGTAATATAGCAAATGATATCTATAGATGGCTAATTACTACTAAAAGATAGTGCTTTATGAAAATTTCTCGATTTTAATTGCCTAGCCTAGACCTTCATTTGAAAGGGCCTCCAGATGTTAGCCCAGCATGGTCCTAAACGGGCCGCAGCTGGCCCGTGAGCTTGCTCTTCAAAATTTCTTTTTTTTTTCAATGTAATCTATGAGATAGTTACTCTTTCGTGTGGAGAAAATCTTTTAAATAGTAGATGTGGTAACTGTTAGTTTGAGTGCTCGTATATATTATTAAAGAACTTGATTTTTTATCGTGTTTCTTAAACGTGAAGTAAATAAGCAGTAAAGTAAACACAACAATTTTCACGTGAAAAATCACCCGACTCAAAAAGTGCAAAAACCACGACGTACTACATAGGATTTTCAACTTCAACTCCACTAGAACAATGAGGAAAAAATGTATCAATTACAAGACTGTAATTCAATACTCTCCAGTACTCCTACTACGACTATTTGAGTTACAAGTTACTCTAACTTGTAAAGCAAACACTCACTCCAACTCACTAATTGTATGTGACACTTGATTATAACTCGATTTCTAAAACACATTCACGAGACTAACTCTCGAGAAATGAATATATAGTGCCACATAAATTGAGATGGACAGAGTCTAATGTATTAAATTATTTGTTATAAATATTAGTAAATCAACATTTTTTATTTCGGAATAGGGTCAAGTATATCCCTGTACTATCGGAAATGGTTTAAATATATCCATCGTTATACTATTTGACCATCTCAGACCCTACCGTTATACTTTGGTACAAATATACCCTTATTTTGGATGGAGTGCCACGTGGCTGCACCAGATTAAATCGACCCATCCCTTTTTAAAACCTGATTCACTTAAAAGAAACCCGATCGACCCAAAATCCACCCCACTCAAAAGAAGACCCTATAACGTTTCATGCCCTCATTTCTATGTAGTAGCTCATGTATTCAAGATATGTTCATGATAACAGATTCCACAATCATGCTATCAATTAGCAACCAACAACAGAAGCCAAATACACCCTTAAACATTGCAACTAAAGCTTTGACCGTTTGGAATTTTGCCCATTTTTTAGTACTAGTACTATCTTCCCCTGAATTTAATCCTCAAACAACCAAAAGTTTATTGATTAGTCATCCTTAACTCAATTATTTTTACACTCTCTCTGGTTATTGTTTAACTAAAACGTCTTCAACTTTGATGCAACGTAACCACTAAGTTGGTTATTCCTTTCTCCAAGCTATCTTGGAGAAACAAAGGTCCGTCAAAGAATCAGGGAGGTACTGAGATATTAAACAGAGTATGATTGATATTGTTGCATCATTTTGAGCTCTCAGCTATTTTTTTACTCCTTCTTTATACAAGGGGATTAGGGTTTTCTGGTTTTTGTCAAAGCTTTAGTAGAAGCCATTGATGTTCTTCATCTTGCACCGGCCATTGTCAGTGGATGTGTAATATCTGCGAGTCTTTTGTATAACCTTGTAGGGTCTTCAAATGGGGTGGATTTTGGGTCAGATCGGGTTTCATTTAAGTGAATCGGGTTTAAAAAGGGGATGTGTGGATTTAATCTGGTACAGCCACGTGACACTCCATCCAAAATAAGGGTATATATTTGTTCAAAAGTATAACGGTAGGGTCTAAGATGGCCAAATAGTATAACAAAAGGTATATTTAAACCATTTTTGATAGTACAGGGATATATCTAACCCTTTTCCGATTTAATTTTTAAACTTTACATGGTCAGTTATCAATTATTTTGGAAACTTACATTTTTTTTTTATTATTTAATAACTTAAATATCATCTTTTAAAGTTGTGTACATCGGTACAAAAGCCCAATCTCAAGGCTACTATAATCTAAAAAAGAGGTAGCAGACATGCTAGTGATACTAGGACGACAGATCGTACCAAAACAGAGGACGGGAAGCTTCCCTTGTCGCTGCGGAAAAACAGTGCTTCATACACTGGTACATTCACAAGAACCATTAATACACATAGAATAACTTGTGGCACAGTATTTACCACTCCATCTAATGCAAGTTTCTTGATTCCCCAAGTGAAACTAATCAGGTTAAGCAAAGCAAGTGTTGCTGTGATAGTGAACATGGCAGATGAGCTGCCAAATTCCATGATCTCTTGCTCGTATCTCCTCTGGACATCGTCGTCTACTACCTTTGTTGTGAGCGCAAATGCTGTCTGAGACAGGCCTAATTGCTTAATCACTGAATCTATGAATGCGAAGAAGTACGCAGTTGTCCTTCGAATCATCCACATTCTTTGTAAGTTCCACCAGGACTTGGGTGTATCACCGCAGCTCATGGCTTCAGCCAAGGAATACACAAACTTCAAGGTGAAAAGCACATATGCAAAAGGCAACAACCATAGGCTTGACACCTGCGACATAACATGTGCCAAAAGTAAATAAAAATGTATTCTATCTAATAGCTAGCTATATCTGAGCGGACAAATGTGATTGGCACGTGATAAAGAATCAGGCCCTCACGTGAATATATATGTTGAAGACATAATTAAATAGTAAAACCGATTACCTCTGGGAATAGAGAGACGCCATGAAGCAGACACAGAGAAGGAACTGACACATAAAACAGCGTAGGAACAGAAACAGGAGCCCAAAGAAGGTAAATACAATATCCCATTTGGGCAGCCAATTTGATATTTCCATGGCCATATATGAAGGGGCAGTATTTGGATATGAAAATTTGGAACAAGCCTTCTGACCATCTCTTATGCTGAACAAGAGCAACGTCTAAGATTGTTGGAGCTACACCCAAAAAGGCAGGTTTACTGGGATTATAGTACACTGATTTCCATCCTCTGCATTGGATTGTTAATCCTGTGATTATATCTTCCACAGGACACCCATACATCAGCCCCATCTGAAAACAAATTGCAAAAAACAAACATATGTTTATCATCTTTTGCTAGAATGTTCCTATGGTGTAATTTTTTTTAAATCCACTGGTCCGACTAATTTGGACTGGCACTCTTGAAAGTTTACTATGGGGTATTAGCACTCCTACCAAATATGGCTCAATTCTCATATTTGAACTCGAAACGTCTGAAAATGCATACACGTGGATAAAGAAATTAGTACCTGTTTTCCCCATTGAGTTCCCTCTTCATAGCTACAGTTTGCAACAACTTTTGATGCTTCCTCTAATTCTTCCACAGTTTTATAGGTGAATTTTTGTTCCTTATTATTCCATTCAACACTATAGTCCTCAGAGACTTTTCTGCCACAGAGACTTTCCCTTCTGTGAAAACACCCTGTGCCACAATACAGAGCTGCTCCATAACCTCCTAATCCAGCTAGTTCAATCTACATTTGTGGAGATTCAAAGTTTTTAAATTCATCAACATGTCTTTGAATGTTAATAAAATAGTAGTACTTCATTTCCATACACCAATAGAGTTGAAAAATGGTTGTCAAAGCATGATCATTTCTACAAATTACCTCATGAGTCACTCGAGCCACATTTCCATAAATATCATTTTTGGTTGCATTATTATAACGCTGAGGATACTGAACGTAGGCTATCTCGTGCCCTTTCTTTTCGTCCATGAAGAAGCACAGTGATTCTCTTATTGCATCTGGATCGTTTGAGTACATGTCGCAATCCAAGTTAAGGATGATGGGCGCATTGCTTATTTGTGACGAAACTCTTATCTGCACGCGTACAAAGTTTTTTTTACTATTAATATATATAAGTTAAATCCTAAAAAAGCGAAAATGAAATTGTACAAGCAGAAATTGTCATTGCTTTATATACCAATGAGTTCATTGATCCGGCCTTGAAGTTATGTGGCCACTTTGGTTTTTTCTCTCGTGACATATAGACAAGTGTTGGCAATCGATTTCCATCCACGTCAGCCATGTTATGGTTCCTTCCATCTATTAGAATCTGAAAGGACACAAAGTAGATCTTTTATTCTTTGTTCTTTTCTTTTTTGATCTTAATAAATGATGTAGTAACAAGAGAATATATTACCTGAACAATAGAGTGATGATCATGCTTTGTGACTTTTGAGTTCCATTCCGAGAACCCTTTGTGCTGAGTCTTAATTTCACTGGGGATGTTTCCACTTTCTATCGCAGCCTCAATCCTGGTTTTCATGTCTTCATATAATTTCTGAAGAAGTTTGTAAGGAAGACATGATTAAATTATTTCCATGTCCGTAGAGGTAGTAAATTAAATTCAGCAAATATTTTAGTAGCCCGCCCAACTCGTCCAAATTTAGATTAACTGAGTGTATAGGGTAAAATATGTTCATATTTAATGATCGCATGAGAAAGCGACACATGAAGCCGAAGACAAAACACAGTTGGGTCCGAAGGCAACGATTTCGTTTGTTATGGAAAGAATGCATGTTTGACTCAACTCACTTATTTATCAGTATTTTCAATTTTGAGAAAAAAGGCAAGTTCTCACCTTGGTATTGAACCATTCTTGTGCAAAAGCTTTATCATCTAAACTGCAGAAATCTTTAAAATAGGCAGCAGGGGACCTGGGCTCCACATTGAATTTCTTGCAGAAAGGAATCCAATATTTTGAGAATTGAGAGGCCTCAAGGAGAGCATAAAACGTATATTCTGAACCCCCATCATCTGAAAGGTAAACACTCAACTTTTGTGGAGGATAATTATATGACATCACTGACAAGATTGTGTTAATCACCATCGTTGGAGGCTCCATTATAGGATCTGCTGTGCAAACGAATATGTCCACTGCTGGCAACTTCTCCTCGTATCTACAAATTCAAAACAAAGATTAATTCAAAATTTAAACTTCAATGGATTCAATTCTTATCACTAAATTCATGATACTTTAGAATTATGGATTTCAAATTTTGTTATTTGTTAGTACAATTTTAATAATTTCTATGTGTGTGTCTATATATATATAAGTAAAGATAAATCTAAATAGACAAATTGATTAGGCCGAATAATTCCATATGTATAGAAATATTATTATTTGATTGATCTAAGTTCATGCAATTTATTACTCCAGCCTTATTAATTTATGTGAACAAATTTGACTGAGCAAGAAGTTTAAGAAAAAAGAGAAAGACTTTTGAACTTGTGGTGTAAAATGAGGCACATATATTTTGTGTGACTATAAATCATTGCATAAAGGTAAATTATTTTCAAATATGGAAAGAGATCATTCTTTTTCGTAGGGACTAAAAAGAAAATAGGTTCATATAAATTGAAACGAAGGGAGTAATAAAAATGAATAATTTATTTATTAATTATTATTTACTCAATTTCAATTTAGATGATTTAATTTGACGTGGCACAAAGTTTAACAAAAAAAGAAGAAGGCTTTTGAAACATATGATCTCAAAAGCTTAGGGGACAAAAGTTTTATGGGTCATAATATTTGTGTGACGATAAAAATTTTTTATTAAGGGTAAAATGGGTAAAATAAAAGTTTATAATTAAATTGTTTCTAAATATAGAAATGTGTCATTCTTTCTGGAAACAGACTAACAATGAAAGTATACCCAGAGGGAGTAATATTTTGGTCAATCATTGAATAAAATCAACCAAACGGGAAACCATTTTGCCTTTTTTTATTTTATTTTATTCGATTACACGTCCGAAGAATCTCGATAGTAGTTCCTGAACAATTCTTTGCGGGATTGAATTTTTTTTATATAGTGAAAATACCATAAAGCACGACCCAAAATACATGATACGAAAATCAAAATCAGAATAAAGAGAAAAAAAATCCTGATATATATATATATATATATGGAATGATTAAGAGAGCGAACCTGAGGGAGAGTCTGTTCTTGAAAGGAAAACGATATATAACATCGAGACGAGCAGACTGAGTGATAATCCAGTAGAAACCAAAGACAAGCTCAGATAACAACATTCCAATCCATGCCCATCTCCCAGATTCACCTCTTCTTGGCATATTAATCAATCTGTATATCCATATCAACCATATACCCACAAACACTGTTGAAGCAAATAACTTGTACATATTCCTTCCTCTCGCTGCCTTTGACTCAAACAATGGAAGATTCAAATTACTTTCTTCTCTTCTACATCCATCTTTCCCCATCTCTCTCTAGCTGCCAGATGCACTAACAGAGCAACAAAGCTATGGACTTTATTATACTTCCTTTGTTTTACACTAAGTTCGGAGTAGGATATCAAGTTAATAATTTTAATGTAAATTCGCACATAGAATTTTGAAATTATTTAAAATAAAAATTACATATTTAGAAACTAATAATTCAAGATTTTAAAAAATATTTGTCGAGAAACGTATTCGAGTAAGAAATATATCACATAAACTGAAATAAAGAGAGTACTATAATATATAAATAAATCAACTAATTGAGATAAGATTGACTTGGGTGGCTACTGTTGAAATACATTATGATACTCTGGATATTCAAAGTTTGTAGTTTACTAGGTGTGGCAGTTTATTGCATATATAAACCTAGGGGGACCATATTAAAATAAACAGGACGGCTATGTAATTTATGTGTGTCACTATCAGTTATCGGTGTGCCATAGCGTACCAATTTAAAAATTGATTAAAAAGAGAGTGGAAAATAAGAGAATATAAAAGAATTAACAAGGTGCAGTGACTCTTTGCCTCTAGTAAGAGATACTGATGATGTTAGCAGGTGAAACAAAAGGACAAAATCGTTATGGGATTTTTAGACGACAAGGCAACTTTCCACGTCCATTGCCTTAAAAACATCACATAAAATAATCATATTTCACTTCAAGGATATCTTTCGTTAAGAAAATATCATGTGCTTGTCGTGGTTGACTGCACCTTCACTGATAGTTACCTAAATACCGATTTAATAATGTAGGAAAAAGGGAATAGATGGAATTGGTCAGGTCTATAAGAAACGAAACTAATAATTCGAGTGACATTATTTTTTTCACATGCAACAATATGTAACTATCAATAGTAAGCTAATTTATAGATTTAAAAAATTAAAACAAATAACATATTGTATATATCAAGTTTACAATACATTGATGATATAAAAAAGTTATCTGCAAGTGTCTATGAGTTAAATCAAAGAATATATTAATTATTATCCCCAACAACATCTTATTTACTATAGTAATGTGACTGAGCTAATCACTAATATAAGGAAATAGAAAATACTCGTTAACAAAAGAACAACAGCTTTTATATTGTTAAAAAACAAGCTCATGATATTTTATTTTATTTTGGAATTTAACTATACATTGCCAGGGAAATTATTTGAATATCAAGAATGAAGAACGTACAACTAAAAAAGAGGGTCCAAGTTATAACATTCAAGAGTTCGTCAAACTATTGTGGAGAAATATACTCATTAGTTTTATTTTGTTTTGGGTTCAATTCTTAAAAGTAAAAATGATTTACTTGACAAGCTAAGTATCAAAACACAGTTGGTGTTTTTCTTGTGTTTCGAAGTATTTTTTTAGCCAAACATAACAAATTTATAGTAGTAGTAATTTATCGATGTCTTGTTTCTTTTATTCATGTACATTTTGTCCCATCGTACACGTGAAGGTCATTACTATACCATATGAAATGTGAGCTAATTTGTACATGTTGGGCTTTGTTAATTCAAAGGAGGTGTGAATAGAAAATTGTGGGAAAAGAAATGGAGGGATATGAAATTTTGAATTAGTCATTTTATAAAGGAACTTTGTCCCTCATTTGATAGGAAGAGGAAAATTCTTGTGCTTATATATAGAAGCACTTCTTCTAGCTCTTAAAGAGTTGAGAAGAGAGTAAGCCTCGCGTCGTCGGCGTCGCACGACTTCGGCTTCGCTCAATTGATATGATTGATAATTTTTTTGACCAAATTTATTTTCCATTTCCATCATTTAATATTTCCTTTCCTAATATTTTTCCTATTAAATTCGCGGCATTATTTCCAACGATCAAATTCGCGACCAACCATTCCGTTTAACAGAAATTCTGTCGAATAGATACCTCTTCAAACGAACAGGCATCTTTGCACCTGTTGGGACTCAACTATATTGGCTATAAATAGAGAGGCCAGCCTCATTTTTCACCACCAAAATTTTGAAAATCTCTCCCTTGCTCCGCCATTTGAGTTCGCCGAAGTTCTGTGATTTGAAGTGCCGCTATTACAAAATAGTTATTCCGTTCTTTCCTATGAGGAATTAATCCGAAACCTTGGGCAACTGTGAGAGGATTAAATTTCTTAAGGACACACAAGAAACTTGTGGGCTCAAAATTTTTTTTATTTTGTTTTCTTAAACTAACGTTTTCTGATTTTCTGGTTTTGAATACAGTGAGATAACAAGCTTAAGGAATTTAAAATTTATTTTTTATTCATCTTACTTTCTGGTTTGGGAGACTAAAATCGTAGTGATTTTCTACTCCCATTTTGGAGATTAAAATCTTCGGATTTTAACTCCAGTTTGAGATTAAAGTCTTTGTGATTCTACTCAATCCGAGATTAAAATCCTTGTGATTTTCTACCCAGTTGTTTTTATTCGGTTTGAAGATATAAAAACTTTACCAAGATACTAATTCTGTTTGTGTCAATTTCTTTAACAGAAAAATGAAAACAAGTACGGAACAACAAATTGGTTCTGTTGGAAGGACTACTGCTGCAATGGCTACGATGTCTTCAAGTCGCACAACGCGTGCGCCGGCGATGACACTGGCAGCAGAAAATGTTCTTCTACCTAACCACACTCAATCTGCAGTGCTTTATAAGCGAGGATGTTCTAGTCTTGAGAGAAGAGACTCCGGCTAATGAGCGGTTTGTGGTCACGGAGGCATGGAAGCATTCTGACTTCTTGTGCAGAAATTATATATTGAGTTATTTGGAAGATGACTTGTACAACGTTTATAGTGGCATGGAAACTTCGAAAGAGTTGTGGAATGCTCTTGAAAAGAAGTACATGACGGAAGATGCTGGACTTAAGAGGTTTGTTGCCGCAAAGTTCTTGGACTTTAAAATAGTTGATAGTAAGTCTGTCATAACTCAAGTTCAAGAACTGCAAGTCATCGTTCATGACCTCCTTGCCGAAGGTATAAATCGAATCGATATTTTTATTAAAGATATTGATTATATTATTAATCCTAAATTTATGATTGTAGGTATGGTCATAAATAAAGCGTTTCAAGTTACGGCATTTATTGAAAATTTGCCTCCGATGTGGAAGGACTTTAAAAATTACTTGAAACATAGGCACAAGGAGATGACATTGGAAGACCTTATTGTTCGCCTAAGGATTGAAGAGGACAACAAGGCTGCAGAAAAGAAGTCTCGAAGAAATTCAACAATAATGGGTGCAAATATTGTTGAAGAAGCTTCGACGAGCAAAAAGAGAAAGAAGTCGTCTGGACCAAAGAATTACCCAAGCAAAAAGAAGTTCAAAGGTAATTGCCACAACTGTGGGAAGGTTGGACACAAGGGTGCTGAAGGCCGTGCACCAAAGAAGGATAAGAATAAAAGCCAAGCAAACATGATTGAGAAGAATGATGAAATAAACAATTTATGTTCCATGCTTTCGCAAATGCAACCTAGTTGGAAATCCTAGAGAATGGTAGATTGATTCGGGGGTAACTCGTCATGTTTATGCTAACAAGGAGTTGTTTACTTCTTATGATCCTGCTGTAAATGATGTGATAATTTTTATGACAAATTCTGCTACTGCAAAAATTGAAGGAACATGCAAGATAGCTTTGAAGATGACTTTTAGCAAGATTGTGACTCTAAATGATGTCCTTCATGTTTCTGAAATGCGGAAGAATTTAATCTCGACATCACTTCTAGTTAAGAACGGCTTTAAGTGTATTTTTGTTTCCGACAAGGTTGTAGTTAGTAAGAATGAAATGTATGTAGGAAAAGGTTACCTTACTGCGGGCCTTTTTAAACGCAATGTAATTTCCATTGATATGAATAAAATTTCAGCTTCTTCTTACTTGCTTGAGTCAAATAATTTATTCCATGAACGTTTAGGCCACGTCAACTTCAAAACTTTGCGAAAATGATTAATTTAGAAGTATTGCCTAAGTTTGAATGCAATAACTCGAAATGTTAAATATGTGTGGAATCAAAGTATGTTAAGTAGCCTTATAAGTCAGTTGAACGGAATTCAAATCCTTTAGACTTAATTCACACAGATATTTGCGACATGAAATCAATACCATCTCGTAGTGGGAAAAAGTATTTCATAACTTTTATTGATGATAGTACTAGATATTGCTATATTTACTTACTTAATAGTAAAGATGAAGGAATTGATGTATCCAAGCAATACAAAAATAAAGTTGAAACACAACTAAACAAAAAGGATCAAAATGATAAGAAGTGATAGGGGCGGCGAATATGATCTCCTTTTGAAGAAATATGTTTGGAATATGTCATTATTCACCAAACAACTGCCCCTTATTCACCGCAATCTAATGAAATTACAGAAAGAAATAATAGAACGTTAAAGGAGATGATGAATGCCTTGTTAATAAGTTCTGGTTTACCTCAGAACTTGTGGGGAGAAGCTATTCTTACAGCTAACCGAATACTCAATCAAGTTCCCCATAGCAAAACGCAATCAATTCCATATAAAAAATGAAAAGGAAGGAAATCCAACTTAAAAAAATATTTTAAAGTGTGGTGGTGTTTGGCTAAAGTGCAAGTCCCTAAACCCAAAAGGGTAATGATTGGACCAAAAACCATTGATTGCGTTTTCATAGGATATGCAACAGATAGTAAGGCATATCATTTTCTGGTTCATAAATCAGAAAATCCCGACATTTATATTAACACGGTAATTGAACAAGATAATCCTGAATTCTTTGAGAATATTTATCCATATAAAATGGAAAGTGGGTCATCTAGTGAAAAATCTAAGCGACCTCGGGAAGAAGCAAAGGAAAGTACTTCTGAAGAGAAAAATCCAAGGCGTAGTAAACATCAAAGGACAACTACTTCCTTTGGACCATATTTTCTGGGATTCTTGTTGGAAAATGAGCCTCAAACGTTCAAAGAAGCAATGTCTTCCTCGGAAGCACAATATTGAAAAGAGGCAGTCAATAGTGAGATAGAATCCATATTAAGTAATCATACTTGGGAATTGGTTGATCTTCCTCCGAAAAATAAACCTTTGGGTGCTAAGTGGATTTTCAAAAGGAAAATAAAAGTTGATGGTAATATTGACAAATATAAGGCAATATTAATTGTTAAAGGGTTTAGACACGAGAAAGTCTTGATTAATTTGACACATACTAGCCGGTAACAAGGATTATATTTATTCGGGTGTTAATAGTGTTAGCCGCCGTGTATGACCTTCAAATTTATCAGATGGATGTTAAAATAACCTTCTTAAATAGAGATTTGGAGGAAGAAATTTATATGAAACAACCTGAAGAGTTTGTATTTCCCGAAAAAGAAAAGAA